CACCAAAGAGTGGCAACTTTCCTTCCAGAGGTGGCAGAATGACGAAGGGGACTTCTGCCTGGCCACAAGGCCCATGGCGGAGCACATAACAAGGACTGTAAAGTTGGACATTTTATTCCTGCATTTTTATGCCTTTATATTCTATGTTTTGGTTTATTTTTGTGTTTTAAGATGGCGCAAGTGATGACACTAATCAACACTTGTGTATTTTGTAACAAGATACACATGATAATAAACGGGTTTCTGCTCATTGTTTCTTAAATGCACCCAGATTCTGTACAGTGGATTTCCCAAGCCAATATTATTTCTTTTGTCCTCAACTTGCATTTTACTTTCCAGGGTTCTCCACCTCTTCTGAAAGTCAAATATTCAGGGATATTCTGTTCCTAATTTGGTCACTGTAACCACTCAATGCTTACTAAAATCAAACCATTTCCTTTACTGCTATTAAAGCATCTACATTACCAGAAAGGTGTATAGATATGATACCTTTAACTTTATCCTTTTTTTGATGTTACAGTATTATTTAATGCCTTATACTTTTGAGTTTTCTCACCCTTCTTGAACCACATGCTTTAAATTTTTACCCAAACCATTCCTCCTTTGACTTGTAAGGACAGAAGTAGTGACTGAAAGCTGGATCTAAGGGGCATGTTCTAAGCAAGGTATTAAAAAGGGTGACTGAACTAGAAAGCCAAAGCAGTTGGATCCTAAGAAGTTGAAGGCATCAGTGATGAAGCGAATGAAAAGCAGGTGTGCACAATAGGTCAAACAAGCCCAGGGATGACTGGCAAGTGAGATGAGGTAGTACAAATTGAGGAAATTAATGCAAGACAATTTGATTCATTATTGTCACACATAGCTAGATACAGTGAAAAGTTTGCTTTTGTATGGTATCTGTCTGTACTGCATGCAAAGTGCATTATGGTAAGAGAACAGACACAGGGGGACAGGGGCCAGCCAGAAATACATTGCAAATACCATGTCTGCAAAAGAGTGATAGAAGTGAAGGAAGAGAAAAACAGGTGGACAAATGGGGACAAATTTAGGATGGTCAAAAAGAATGCAGGGGAAGAGGATCAAAATCAATCATGTAGGTTCACGGCCAGAGCAACTGAACTGCTGCTCTCAATCTTGTTGGCAATACAGTCCCTGATGGTAAAGGTGAAAGGTAGAGGACACAGGAGGTAGCTTTAAAAATGAGACAGATCATCATGGAGAAAGGGTGCAATGAATTTCTTGGCAAATTAGAATACTTCATTTTGGTAGAGCTCAGCCAGATTTGGTAATGAATGGTGAAGCCAGTCTGTGCACTTCAGACTCAACTAGACTAAAGGTAAGTACAGACAAGGGGAATAACCTGAAAGAGATAAGCAATTTTATTTTGGGCATTAAAAGGCAGCAAACTGCAGTGTTGAACTGATTGGCAGCTGAGGGACTATCATAAATGAAAAGATGTAGATTCAAACATTTGTTTTAAAAAAAAGAACAAGAGGAAGTGGTGTTAAAAGGGAAATCAATGATGCAAAGAAAGCAACATACTGAAGAGATAATACATACGAAGCATCATGATTAAGGGAATCAATCGTGTATGTATAAGGGCATTTAACAGGGGAAAGGATAAGGAAGGAGAGTGTGTTAATATTAACAAAATTCCAGTATACAATTTTACAGTTCACTAGCATTAGGCTAAACAACTGCTCAATTGCTAACTACCAATGCAGCTAAGTGTACAAATTCTTAAGCTACTTAAACATACTAGAAAGTAACTTCATGATCTCAAAATCATACTTCCATTTTCTTTCAAAATCAAAATTATGGAACTAAACTAGCCATATTATAGCACAAAACTAGTTTCTTAGCCATCTAGTCCAAACAGAACTCTTCTATACACACCCCCCCCCCCCACAACCAAGTCATCAGATGGCTTCAACTTTGGCTGAGCGAATATTAAATAATTTCCAACAAGACAGCCTGATAATGGTTAACCATATGGTCTTACACCGAATAAGTGAACATTTTCGGTGCCAAATGTATATACTCCTGCAACCTATAGCCACCCTCTCAAGAACAAATAAAACCCAAGTCACTAAATAAACGATAAGATGCCCTTTCAACTCAATAGGGGCAGAACCATGAAGGTTTCATTAAATCACCTTATCCAATACTGAACTTTGAGCAGTGTTGCCAGCTGCAGAAGTAGAGATAAACTAATAGAACAATTATTAAAGGAAGAATGCATGGCATGTACACCATTAATGACGTGTTTATGGTAAATACAAGCCAAGTAATCAGTAACTTGGATGCAAAAAAGCTACGTGTGCAATCCCAAAAAGTACTAACATGTTAATAGAATAATCACTGATACAAGCTTACAGCTGTTCAAGCCAGCAGCCATCAAGACACCATCTCATGACACTCCAAGATTCTGAGCATAAAGAGAAGTTACTGCTTAAGCAAATTCAAAGAAATTTGCCTCAACATTGGGGTTTATTATGTTCAAAGTCACAAGCTAACCTACAAAATTAATTCCAATTCTGATACAACCAGTTGCTGCAATTAAAATCAAACTTATTCACAAATAAGTAATTCTGCACATATAGTGAGGTATCTAGCCACCTTTAAACAACAAAACCCTGGATCGGAGTGCAAATTAGAATACTCATCATAAGTCTAATTGAGAAGACAAGTAATTCTTCTGTGGCCGAAAACTTAGAGCAAACAAACAGCGTAAAGTGACACACACCCTTAGGAGCTTATCTGGAGCGATACTTGAATACAGTCCAAATCCAGAAGTTTTTCATATTGCATTGAGTAATTTGCTTCTATATAACCTCATCAGTTTACCAGACGTATACCGGCAAAGTCAAGGGCAGTAGCATACTTGGCTGAACTAAGGGAAACTCAACAGCCCAAAAATATTCCAAATGCTTCTCCTGCAAGTACAAAATGTTTAAATCAATTTACGCTTAAATCATTCCAAATACGGTGAAGACTAAGGGATCCTTACACTGCTCATAGCTGGGCAGGTCTCAATGAGCCTGATTATTACAGGTTCGAAAAGGTCCTTTGAAGCAAATCCTTCCAAATATTAAAATAATGAGTTGGGCCAATTGAAATTCCTATGTATTTTGACAAAAATAAATTAAAAGTTTAAAAACATCTGCCAATTTCAGCATATAACTTTTTTTAGGGGGAAAAAGTAGTTTATGTCCGCTCTGACATGGAAAACTGCGCCCTCCCACCACAGCTGAGCTGAACTGCAGAGTCATGCCATACAGGCCTGACGGGGGATGGGAGAAAATCAGAACAAAACGCTCATACACAAAAAACCACAACAGGAAGAAAAAACTAATTTGGCTTTATGAGATGCAGAAACCAGTGAACCGCAAACACCAGAAAGCACAATTCCTAGACAGTTTCACTAACAGTAATTTCTTGCCCACAAGTAAAGATGGGAACTCAGCAAAAAGAAAAGATCAGGCTCAAATGGGCCTTATCTTTTACGCACTTCAGTTTGATTTTAAAAGCAATGCAAATGAGTCCTAGGGTGTTAAGGAGTTACAGACAAGATTACTTTCTACAAATGATTTCACAACACGCAGCCTCTGCCAAAACCCCCACCATAAGAGTACAAGTTCATAAATTCACCATGAAGCACATTAGAATGGGAATGAAGAAAGCCATGGTTCACCTTTATTTTCTCCTACTTAAAGAGAAACCTTTACCTTTGCCTGATCTTTCTGCAGTATTAAGTCTGCATGAAAAAGAGAGAATTAAAATATTTCCCTTTAAAAAGTGCAGTGATTCATAAGCTGTAGACAGAGAGAAGCACTGCTCCTCGTTTCATAATGAAAACCCTGAATTTGAACAATTAGGAAAGATAAATTTGAAACTGGCAATCTCCATCGTTATGCACAGAGGACGACGAGGCTGGTCACACAGCAAGTTTTCTAGAATTTTCTACCAGAATCAGCAATCTGCCTTTACACTGGAAAAAAAAATCATCAAAACCAAATAGAAAATTAAAAATAAAAACGATTTCAAACATGCACTTTTGATTTAAATCAGAAGGATTTTTAAAAAAAATATATTAGATGCAAAAACAAAAAAGGAAGCATATAATTAAAAAACCATTTCCCAAACGAGATTAGTTAACCCTCTGGTAAGACAGCCAACTGTCTCAGAAGTACATTGAGAGGTTTATAATTAGAGGTAGAAGGGCAATTTTAAACAAAATCTTCCCCTTCCCCCACCCCATGCAAACCTTCCCCAAGCCTTCCCTCAGTCTTTGAGGAGACAGTTCAGTGTTCTCTCGTCCCCACACCCCACCCCTCTCTACCAGTGATCACAGCATTAAACTGTTAGGGTGGGGGGAAAGGAGGGAACAAGGGACACACACAAGGGAGATGGGGGCGTGGGTTGGGGAAAAAAATAAAAAGGAGGGGGGCAACACAAGGCGGATGGGGGAAAAAAAAACAGAGGGGGGGGGAACACGAGGAGGATGGGGGGACAGGCAGAAAATCGGGTAGAAAAAAAGAGGGGGGGGGAAAAGAGAAGGGAGTGGGAAAAAGAAGGGGGTGGGGGAAAGGAGAAGAGGGAGACGGCGCCATTTTACAACCGCACACACCGGCGCGATTAGCGGTCAGGGCCTGGGCAAGGAGTGGCTTCCTTTAAAACAGAATTAATAATAAAAACTACCCCCCTTTTCGAATGTTGGGGGGGGGAAAAAAGAGTAAAGAATAGGAGAGAAAAAAAGAGGGGGGGGTTGAAGAAACTTGATACCCCCTTGTCCCCGGCACACAAACATTTTCAAAAATATTGCATATCTAAAAACAAAAAGAAAAACATAGACGGGGGGGGGGGGGG